ACATTTTTAAAAGTTCAAAAATAAGGGACTTATGATTACTGAAAAATAGGGTCTATGTATAAAATTAGTAAAGTTAGTAATTATAGATTTGATAGAGGAAGAAAATTACGGTATGTGCTTGAAGTTTTAATATGCCTTAGTGATTCTTATCATCTACAAACCACTGAATAAAATGAATGTGCCTTAAAGTTTTTAAATGAAAATGGGTTACTAGGTAAGCTTGTTCTTTAACTGGAAAATGACGTGTAAGTATTCCTATATGGTTTCAACTCACTCTTCATGGAATTTTAAGAGGCACTTCCTGAAACTCTTAAGTACTGTCACCACTAGAGAGAGAAAACAGGCTCCAAGTGAGCAGTACTCTTAGGTGGATAATACTCATTTGAATTCAGAGATTCAAAGCAAGCTGTCAAAACTATTAGCATTTGCAATCTCCCTGTGTGAATCAAGCTTTTCTCAATAGAATGAAGCAAAAACAACCCAGCAGTCTGAACTTGCAATTAACCAAGATACTTTTCAATTCCAAATTTGGGGCCACGCAAAATTGCATAGTCTTTATTGAACTTTATAAAACTGTGAAGAGGCTAAACAGATACAATGCATTTATCTTTATGAAGTACGTCATGTTTATTGTATTATGGTCTAAGGTGAGACAAAATACTTATATATTTTTTAAACAGAAGTGGGAAACCATCGTTTTTAGTTATTCTCTCCCTAGGCAGCACCTAATGTCAGAACTTTAAAATGACTTACGTCATGTCTTGCTTGTGGGAGAGGGAGAACAGGTCACAAACCAAGCACACTCCAAACATGGTGATTCCAGTCTCTTTCACCAGCATTGCACAGGTCCCCAGAAACAAACTGAGCAGCAAGAAGAAGGGAGAAGCCGTGGGAGGGAAACATTCCCCAGCACAACACTGATCCAGACTCCTGGAAAACAATTGGATGTTCTTTTAAATTAAGAAATGTGGGTCACTAAGAAATATTACCTTAAAAGATAAAAKGTAGTCAATTTCTTTGCATCCTAAGCAATTAAGTGAGTCAAGATTTCTTCCAGAGTATTCATCATGGAATTAAAATTACTAAGATGAAAAAAAGKTAATGGTACTCAATTTGAGTACTTAAATTATGGTACATATAAATTAGGATAAAATATGGCATGTAATAGTATGTAAATATGGATGTAAATTATGATAAAATATGGTATGTCATAAGTGAACATTCAAAAGTCATTTAAAATGTCATCAGAGAATATAGTTAGAGAGAAAAGAAGACATTAAGTGAATACATTGTAGGTGAATAATACAGGTTACTGCACAACCTGCATGAGCTCTGGAGCCATGGTCTCTGGCTCAAATCACAGCTCTGCAGTTAACAAAGAAGTGAGAGAGCAAGTTATTTTACCCCCTGTACTTTGGTCCCCTTATGTGTGAAATGGGAGTCTAGCATTACGGGGGGCATTGAAGAAATGACTTATTACATGTCAAGTGTTTATCATCACATTATTATGAGTCAAGTGTTTTTAGGTGTTCTATACACAGAACAATCAGTAGATAATTATATCAAAATATAGTAGCTTTTTTCTCTGGAAAGGAAAAACAAATATTCTTCACATTTTAATTTTCTTTTTGCTAATTAATATTTTAAAATTTACTTTCCATGAGCATGTGTTAGATGAAGTTATTTTTTCTCAGTTAAATCTCCAATAGAAATTTTAAAAAATTCTGTAGTGGTATAAAAGTCTTTCTTTCCACCTTACAAAATACAATTGACCCCAAGAAACAGCATTGTTCTCTTTGACAGTTGCCAATCCTGGGCTCCTATTCCTTTGAAGTAAAGGCCAAAACTTCTTGTTGTATCTTCTTCTTACTATTGCATCTTAGAAAAATTACTCATTATCACACCAATATGGACAGGCTGCAGGGCTAATCAATCATTTTTCCCAAATGTATCAAACACACACAAAAAGCCCTAGAAACAAGTTTAAATTAAAGTGAGTAATTCCTGTCTAACACCAGAGTAAACAGGAAACAATTCATTGTTAAATTGGGGCTTTTTAAGATTTCATTATACTGTTCATATGATTGCGAATGCAAAGCCAAAACCTGGAGATGGATATTACACTAAAAAAATGCTCCGCCCTTTAAAAAAAAAAAGCTAATTCATTTCATTCTTCATTCATTTCATTCTTGATCCAAGGTCTAAATTAGTTTATAACAGGGTTCATCTGTCTCAGCACCATTGGCATTTTTCAACCAGATAATTCTTTGCTGCAGGGCCTGTCCTATGCATTGTAGGATGTTTATTTAACAGCATTCTTTTTTTTTTTTATTGATTGTTCAAAACATTACAGAGCTCATGATATACCACCATTTGACCCAGCTATCGCCCTTCTCGGACTATTCCCTGAGGACCTTAAAAGAGCGCACTATAGAGATATGGCCACAGCAATGATTATAGCGGCACAATTCACAATAGCTAGACTGTGGAACCAACCTAGATGCCCTTCAACAGATGAATGGATAAAAAAAATGTGGCATCTATACACAATGGAGTATTATGCAGCACTAAGAAATGACAGAATCATAGAATTTAACAGCATTCTTGGGCTCTACCCCTCGGTGCCAGAAGCACTTCTTGGGTTGTGACAAGCAAAACTGTCTACAGATAGTGCCAAATGTTCCTGGAGGGAGTGGGGGAATGGTGGCTGGGGAATGAAAAGAAATCACTCCTAATTAAAAACCACTGGGTTAGAACAGTGTTCCTCAGTCACTGGACTCTGAAAGATCACAGGTCAATGAACTGATCAAAAGTTCACAGTTCACAAATCCTTAACCAGGCCTCTCTCCACGGAGCAAGGTGACATGACTAACCCACCCGCTTTCCTGGGCCACACTCTGAGCACTCGACCCTTTTCCACATTCTCTTTTCAACTCCTGCCCTATGTAGACATGTCACAAATCAAGTAAGAATCTCATGGTTTGGGGAGTAAAGGTACAATTGAACAGAAAATTATTTTATTGCTTTTTGTTTTCCCAAAGCAAAGAATGTCTGTATTTCAAAGAAAGGATTATAAATTGTACAAGTATAGTTGAAAAACACTACTTTCTGCTTAGCCTTGTTATTTGAAGTTTTGAGCTACTTTGGTGAGGATGATAAAGAGGAGAAACAATCAGGATCAAAATGAAAAGGAGAAATTAAGCATATCATAGGCAAATAGAATAGAATATTATGCCCAGTATATTTTGGCTGAGAGCTAAGATTCCAAATTCCATTCTCAGGCAGAAACTACCAGTAAAAGGAATCAAGAAGCAAGAGCTCGGATTTCTAGAACTGGGGGGAAAGTACTCTTTTAAAAATGATAGGATATGGTTCAGCATGGGGCTAGAGGAGACAACYGGCCAGTATTGGATAAAAAGCGAGTTCTTATCCCTGGAGCTCATGAGCACAGCACCACCCTGAAGCCTCCCTTCTCTCCAAGCAGATGCTCAATCTACACACACAGCATGGCTGTAATCACAGAGGAGGGCTTGCTGAGCCATACATACCTATTGTAGGAGAGGAAGGCCAACAGGAACAGGAGACATGCTAACACATCAGCTCTGCCAACAATCCCAGCCACCTATGAAGTTTAACACAATGAAAAATTCAAAAACTCAGAAAATTCTGTCAGAAAAATCTCACAGAAATGTCTTTGTTTGTAGATGAATAATATAATGTAACAAAATAGTATAGTATAATAAAATAGAATACATATTATTCTTCAAATTCTGACATGACTAAATACCTCTGATCAGTAAGAATTAACAATAAGCTTACAGAARGAGAAAAAGAAGAAGTGGCAAGATTTTCATGCTTAACTTTATTTTTAACTTCTCTTGTAAAGAGGATCAATTTATAGCATCAAAGCTTATTCATTTATTATTATTTTTTTAAATCTTAAAAAGAGGGCTGTGGTGTTG